ACCGTCATGGGCACCGACCCGAGTACGAGCATTGCCGATGCTGGCTGGCAGATCAAGGTTGTCGACACGATCTTGCAGAACTGCTACGAGATCTTCGACGACGAGTAGACGGCCCGCCGTCGTAGTTCTTCGCTTTGACGTGTTTCCAAAAGCAAAAAAGGCATCATGGCGTTGGCGGATCTTCCATCTCTCGCTTTGTACATTCTTGCCACCCTGGTCGGACCGTACGTATGAACCACGCATATCCTGGGCACATATATAGCTTGCGTCCTCATGCGGCTGGAACGCTCCCCCTTTCTACTTCCCACTCTTCAGGTATCTAGCGAGCAGGATGCGAGAATATTCGGACCATTGGCTTTTTATTCTACTTTCACCTTGTTTTCCCTTATTCACGGTCATTGAGCGTAAACTGAGGGGGCGGCGGCGTTGGGGAGGTGGGTGGAAATGGTCTTCTGTATTTGTTTTCTCGCCATCTTCGATCGGTCGTCTTTTTATTTTCAGGGATACCACCGTAGGCTTTCTGCAGCACAGCGTTGCGTCCTCCTTTTATAGCCAATCCTTGCTGCCGTTCATGATGATTGCCTGTGTGATGTGTGAAGGGTCCGTGGTGTGATGGGGGCGTAGGCCAATCCTTCATCTTCGGAGCGAATGTGAGGAAAGGATGACAGAAGCCAGGTACCAGTAGACCGAGGGCGAGCGAGTTCCTCTCACCTCCCGAGGTATTGCGGCCTGGAGACTGAGGCAGCCGGCCTGGAATTTCACCTTGTACTTCACCTTTGAGCGCTGCCAGGTATTTCAGGTGGTTAGTGCCGAGAGTTCCCAACAACCGAGCTGGAATAAATGGCCGTGAATATGCCCAGTATGGTAGAACTAGTGTGCCAGCTGAACACAGAGATCATGCTTATCCCCTCGAGAGCCCAGGTTCGAATCCTCGTGCTCGATTTCATTTTTGGTTCTTTCTCCTAGTACGTTTTCTTCGGATGTGTTGTTCTCTCACCACCTCCCCCTTTGTTTTGAAAACAGTGGCAGGCCTGCCTTTGAGTATTAATTATCCCTTTTTTGCGCATGGATCGAACTCAGAAAAATTATCTGCCGGGTTGTACTTTGTTTGCTACACCGGAAATGCCTAGATTGCCAAATCACGAGGAAGGGGCCGAGTACCGACGCCTACCAACCTAGGTAGTTGCGTTTTCGGCTCTCGACTCCTAGCGGTCATCGCTTTGGCTGTATTCACGATGGATAATCAGACAGACTGCGGCTAAGCTGTCATATCACGGAGGTTGACGGAAAAGTCTTCTTACGTTGACAGCGGGACCACCGTTTCCCGCTTCGTTCATCAAATGTGTTCAACGAAGTTAATTCGGTTTCTTCTGCCTTCGCAATTGCAAGAAATGCCGTCACTGATACTTATATGGGAAATCCACAGTCTCGCCATCTGTTTCTGGGTACGATGGGAGCTTTGCCGTTGTCTTGCTTTGGCATAGGAGTGGCTTGCCCGCTGACGATTTGTATAAAAGGGGGCCTGGCGGGACATTCTCTGGACGAGCGGGGACAAGGAAATCGATGAGCATTTGGAGCGTTACCGCAGCTACCTTCCACTGGCTCCTGCCTCGCCATTAGGCTCATGGCGTTTGGACAGAAAACACATGATGCGATCTCAAGCATTTGACTTCTGCATGTGGAAGAGTCGAGTATGCGTTGGAATAGCTTAAGGAAAGTTACGAACGATAGAAGCGATGCATGACGATTCATGGCTGAGCCTCAAGACAAAAGTGCGAGCGAGCAATGTCGTGTGGGCATTGCTTAGACGCCTGATAAGTTCACTGCCTGCCATCGGCTACGAGCAAGACAAAGAGGACGGAATTGCGTCTGAGAATGAAAACTTGGGTATGAGGAGTATCCCTGCCTTTTCAAGGATGGACTCTTCGTGGAGTTGAGCACCGGCATAACATAAAGAGAGCTCGCGAGGGATACTCTGTTTGTATTTTGTACCGCAGAGAATGAACTGAACCGCATCTTGTTCAGACACGGAGTCGAATGTGGGTCCTGATGTCATGTTTTGAGTTCTGTTTTGAGTAAGAGGAAACTACGAGTAGCTACATGATGGAGGTACTCGCGAAGTGTGTGGGATGAATACCATATCGACGGTGACGATGAATACCTGGGTAAACCGCAATCCGAGGTCAGTCAAGATGGAGGCAATCACTAGGATCACGATATCTTTGAAACTTGTTCGTATCGGCGAACGATCATGACAACGCGAATACATTGTGGAATCAGTTATACCGGTCAGACACGGCTGTTTTATAGAGCTTGCTTTCGCCATTGTCCGTGTGATGGAAGTCCACGACGTTGACGGTCATTAGTACGAACGACAACTCTGTACAAATGCCGCTATCTAGCAACAATCTTTTCAGATTCATCAATTATTTTATAGATAACCAAAGGGTCTTTGCTGCCTTTGTTTACTGGTGAAATTCGAGATGTCAACTGGTCTCCATCATTCCACGTGAACTAACCTTCAACCTTCTCCCTTTACCTGTAATATCTGAATACACCTCAAGAGACGCCAATGATAGACCATGAACGGTCAAACTGTGATATGGGTCCATAGCAGTCAGGATCAATGTACTTTACCTTCGGCATGTTCGGACCAAGGCGCAAAGCAACGACTCGCGTGGCTAAGAGAGGTTCTTCAAATTGGGCCTCGAAAGCACTCTGAGGCGGTTATCACAGCATAATTATACCCTTACCGAGACCCCGTAGGTGTCAAGAAAGAGTCTTCAGCACATCCCTGGCCGCTGCTCGGATGTCACTTTGTGGCTCTGGCATGTTGTGTATAAGTCTCTGTCAAGTTGGCGTTGTAAATGTTTAAGCGACAAATCAGCACTGAATATCCTGAAACTGCCAGCCTTCCAGCTGCTCTGATGCGCCCTACAACACGTAGGGGCCTTCTCCTCACCAGTTCTGACTAAAGTGTGGGGCATTAGACGTACAACAATGACTTTTGTATGAATACATTAAGGATACTCGACGAAAACTGAATACCAAAGGCGATCGAGGATGTCGTTTCATGCTTGGACCTTAGCAAGCCTCTGCTTTTGATGGCGAGAGACTTCCGGTAGACAGCCTTTAGTTTAGGGTTGAAAGACACCAATAAAGATGCGTCCGATCAATTGCCTGGCTTACCCTATTCTAAGACTCCTCAATCGTTTTATACTTATCCTCTGCCTTTCAATTCACTGAACTTGATCGTATTCAGCATATTTGGAAGGCAGAGGACATCAACGAGCAATGCCTCACACAACAAACATTACTGATAGTTACCTAGACGACCCTCGTGTATGGAGAAATCTCCAAATGAGCTAAAGACACTTACAAAACATGAAGAAAGATCATATATAGCCTATCTAGCAACTGTCATCACTCAAGCAGGGACAATACATGAGGACAACCATTGCAGCCCATACACACCACCATTCAGAACGGCGCCAACTCTGTCCCAATCAAGCGCCGTGTCTCTTCTTTTGTAGATGATGATTCGATATGGGCGCGTCGAGCAATCTGAGGTTTCCATGGGCTTATTCTGGTTCTCATAGCTCTAAGACAAGGTGGGGCGAAGCCGGCGCATGAAATGAACAGATGAAAGCGCTGGGGCCTCGCGTGCTAGTCTTCATAGCCTACTATGCGTCCTCCAGAGTATTAGAATACAAGCCGTCAAATGATAATCAAACAAGGCCAAGGAGAAAAGGGTCAAACTGAATTGGTTGAAAAGACCAGTCATGCCGTCCGACGTGTGCGTTAGGTGCTTTAATGCTTTACGTCACCAGTGAATATGTATGATGTAAACATGAATTGCGGAAGGGTATCTACTCCTTGAAACCAACTGTTCATTACGCCAGCTCCTTTGCCGGAAATATAGTCTTTGAACTTCAAGACAGCTCCCAGAGCAGCTGAAAATATCTCTCTTGATTGCTGACTCTCATATCAAGGATGACACAGAATGGTACACCTGCCAAAACATTAGAACAGGAGGACAAGCCGTTTATGTCTCTGAGTGTCGATGGATATATAGTGCAACTGTTGGTTTCCACAATTGACATGATAGTAAGGTCCTCCAGGGACCAAAGAGACGTCATCGCGAAAGTATAAGCGATGATATGAAAGGGAAGAAGGGTGTTTCCAACCAGAAATAAGATTAGCAGGGCTGATCTGGCCACTGTTCTCACAGAGAGGCAAGCGCCAACGTCATCCTTGACTGCCGTTCGTTGTCGTCGTCGTCCTCCTCGAGCCTGCCCTGTGTGCCCGGAACAGGGCTACATAAATGTGGCAGGGGGTCGAGAGATTCATGCAACTTGCACAACTACATACCTCCCAGCCGCCCACCTCTCTACCAACTCCCACCCACCAACTCCCACCCACCAACTTCTTTCACACTTCAGTTTACATTACTAGAAAATTCACTATCCGTATGAACTACTTCCACTTCATTACTTTTGCATCCAACCATTCAACCCATACGAGGCGTATGCTTCTGACCTCTGACCTGTTCAGCCATTCATCAATGCAAGAGCAGGTGCGACCCGCACGAACATAACACGGCGTGCTCTCTCACCTTTCAAATCACGACTTCCTTCACGCAGGTCTCTCCACACACCCAACAACATTCTCACTCAACTCATTCCTTACATGTCTATGGACCAACCATCTCGAGACACAAGCTCCATCTCAACAGGGTTCCTTGCCTCATGAGCCACGTTCCTTATCATCTTTTAGTCTTTCTTTAACGCAACCACACCATATTGATTGCTTAGACGCCGTCCTCTACCTGCACAGCAATACTTCCGTCTCCAAGACCATCCAAGGCATTTCTTACTTGTCGGTATCATATCTTTGGAGCTTACAGACACCTCTCTTACATTTCGTTTCAAATTCTTTGCCAGCATTATTCTTTTCTTTAGTTTCATTCGAAGGCCCTTGCTGGCAGCACATCCATCACCATGTCCACAACCTCTGCCCAGAATCCTCCGAGATGCAAGAGAGGCTGGCTGAAATGGGCCAAGGCCCAAATGCACCCAAAGTACGCCGAAGTACATGACTTGGACTTCCAACTCCGCCGAATTATCAACACCATTTCCTGGGACAAGATACGCAAGAGAGTACTCGTCACTCAGGAGCCGTCCTACATGCGACTTCTGGCCTTCCTAGGCAATGCTCAGAACCACAGACTGCGTCCGCCTTCGCCGGTGGACTGCGAGGCAGTGAGAATAATGAATGGCGGCGAATTCCCCGACATCATCTCAAGCCTCCTCAGGAACGCAGGCTGGGAGCCCAGCGCATGCACCGATCCGTTGCTGATTGCGATAGAAAGAGTCTTGCGTCCTCCGCCTCCACCTCCACCAGAGCAGAAGGAGGAAGATCTTGCTCCAAAGGAGCCGATACCTTAAGGGGATGGAATGTCAAGACCCCAAAGTGCTACAAGCTGCAGCAGCCCTTTATTTTCCTCATGGGGCGCTGGGGTCCTGATGGAGAACGCGAACCGGATGACGTGCCTTCCGTCATCGACCTCGAGGCAACGAGGATCATGAACAACGGCAAGTTGCCTCAAGAGCTGTGCGAGTGGCTCGCCAATGCAGGCTGGGATGCCGAGAAATGCTGCAACCCGAAGCTGTCTATCGCGGAGAAGAAAGTCTCAGCCGATCCTCCGGCACCCACGCAGCAACAAGAGCCGACTACCCCTAGACCAGTGGACGGAGGTGAAGAGGTCACGCACATCCCCCCGGAGACCCCAGAGGGCGATGAAGAGATAACCCCCGCTTCCCCTGAAGTTGTCGAGAAAGTTGAAAGACTGCAGACGCCAGCACCACCCCAACCATCGAGCTTTGCCTCTTCGCCTGACAATCAAATTGACCCAGCGGAATACCCACGCCTGGAGATGCTATGGAAGTCAACACCGGCACCGCGCACTGAGGTCGAGGAGGGAAGAATGCCGCCTCCACAAACCAAAACCGTAAGGCGCCCTTCGGCTGACGACCACGGAGAATCTGCTCAGCAAGCGAAGAGACAGAGAATGAGCATGTTGCCGGGCGATCCTCTCAATATAGGTGGGTGCTTCACTCCTGGAGGAAGGAGCAACTACCAGACCTTCCCTTCAAGCACCACCAACCCGCGTGGAATCACCACTCCGCGCCAGAACTTCTTCGACTCCTCAGCTGCGCCTCGAAACACCAATACCCGAGCGTCTTCCCTCAATAACCCCACCAGACCACCACCTCCCACGCCATTCCCTTCAACAAACTTCGCCAGACCCATCGCCACTCCATCTGCAGACCAAACCATCCCCAGCACGCCAATGCGATCCCAATCTCTCACCTCAGACCAGTCCTTCCCCCCAATCTTCCACGACATGATGTCCAAAATGGCAGACATGGGCGCCGCCGTCACCGCACAGGTCCAGCTCCGCGACGAAGAACACCACCACCACCAAGACCGCCTCCGCCGCGCCTTCCTCGCCGTCGAGCACGCCTCGCGCGAGGTCGGACGTGCCGGCAACGCCTTCGACATAGCCCGGCGCGACCTCGACATGGCCCTCGAGCAGCAGAACATCACCATCGCGGCGCTGAAGACACTTCTGGACGCCGATGGAGTTGAGGTGCAGCCGGTACAGTAAGAACGCCAGTCTCACGGAGTCGTTCATTCGTCAGCAGCTCACCGTTTTCTAACCAGTCTTGACGAACCCGAGGTCCCTACGCGCGAGCGAGAGTCTTGCCTCCCGCAGCTCTTCGGTACGCTTTCGAATTTCAGCATCTTCATGGTACTACATGTCGCCCACACGTTGATTCTTCTCGGCTACTTCCTCACGCAGGGATGCTTCAATTTCTTCAAATATCTTCGAAAGGTCTGATGGACCTAGCCATACCGGCCATGATATCCGTCTTTTCTATACTTCGCGAACTCTTCGACCAAGTTTTACTAAACAGCGACTGGTACTTCATACCATCCAAATATTTCTCACCAAAGTCAGACATCATTTTTATCGACGCCACGGCGTTCCAGTATTCACACCAGCATCAACACGGAAGGAGCAAAGGACATACGTACTTGCCGTCCCCAAGCACACCAGTTTCCGGATCTACTTTTCTTTTCACTCTACAAGTTGGAACTTTCCAATAACAGGTTTCGAGTTTTTTTCCTATCATTACCCGTCCAGAGCCATGCTTCATGGTTGGGCAGACGGGGGGCAGTTACGGAGTTTGGCGAGTTCGGCGTTCATTTGGACTAAGAAAAAGGGGCAATTGTACTTTAGAAGGTCAAGTTGCGGATTGCTATTCCATTTCCTTGATTGACACTGCTCTTTGAAAAATATTCTTTTGGTGATGCAGTATGATGGGAAAACCGTACGTCTCAGACCGTGACACCAAGACGAGCGAACCACAAGCAAAGAACAAAAAACACCACCAAAAAAAGCCAAAAAGAATCCACTTGAACCCTTAACCTCCCACCGATCAGATATGGCAACACCAGGGCGCTGCGGTTGCGCTTGTCCCGACCACTGGGTCCATCTTGCTCTTCTCGCCGGGAGTTGACAACCAAGGCAGCATCGGCACCCAAGTAAGGCAGGCAGGCCGTCCGTCCATCACCTTCGCCCGCCCGCCTGCCCCTTCCTTACCATGGACATCTCACAATCACAAGTCTAATCATCAAAGCAAGCATCCTCATCTCAAAACACTTTGTCATTAAAAATCAACAGAAAACCGGCCCAGGACGGGCAGTAATGAACCTAGACTCCAAGACCATGCAGCTACCACCAAGATCCGGCATAGCCAAGCTCAGCGTTACGAACAAGGTGTGTATGTGTGTATGTGTTGTGTGTGTTTGTGAGAGGGGAGCGGGAGAAATCCAAACGCAGACGGATGCCACGCAACGCGAGATGTTCAATCTCGCTGCAAATTCAAACCTCCAATTTCAAACGTTTTCGTTCAGACCTCCACCACCCTCGTTATGTCATCATCCCATCCAACCGGGAGGCATTTCGAATCTTCCCCGGCGCAAAACACTGGGATGAACACGTCGTGACCAAAAAAAAAAAAAAAAAAAAAAAAAAAAAAAAAAAAAAAAAAAAAAAAAACCAAAGCAAATTCCGACAGAAACTTTCCACTTCATCCCATCATGTCCAGGCGTCCTTACTCATCAATCCTTGGTATTCCCCGCACATGCAGCTTTTCATGACGCCCGCTCACTTTGACATCAAAACAAGCCGAGCAGTAACAATCGCATTTCATTATCCTTGAGTTCAGTTTTCCTCATCGTCCTCCTCGATCGGAGCGGGTGTGCGCCGTTCCGTCCGGCGCTTGGGTCGGCGGTGTCTCGAGCTGCTGATGTTGCTGGCCGAGTCGTCGGGAGCGAGCTCGAAGTCGTCGCCGCCCATCCAGTCGTCATCGCTGTTGTCCAAATCGCCCTGGGCCCATCCCGGGCGCTCGTAGCCCGAAGACTGGGAGTTGCCGGAGCCGGGCAGCACATCGATACGTCGGCGGCTCTGCAGGCTGTGCGCGAGACCGGCGCCTCTGTTGCGCAGCGCCGTCCGGACAACTTCCGCCCTGAGGTGAAGTGCCTCGAAGGCATCCTCCAGCACTTCCATACCCTGGTAGATCTCACGCTCCACTTCCGCCAAGACGGCCATCTCCATCTCCTCATCACGGGACACTGCCTGACGGTTCGCGGCGGCTGACATACCGCTCACGAAGGAAGCTGGAGTGGCGCCACGAGAGTACGGGGTGGCGTTGCGACAAGGCCCTCCAGTCGAGGGTCGAGAAGGGAAGTAGCCGCTCGCGGGAGTGGCTCCCCGGGAGTCGGCGATCGGGGTGTTGACGTCGTCTCCGTCGGCGCCAGACCACAAGAAGCCATCGAATCTTCCCGAAGTCAAGATCTCCCACTCCTGGGTGTTGATATCGGACATTGTCACAACGAGATCGTGGGTATGAGGGTTCTTGACAAGGTACATTGCGACTTCGGCATCGCGGGGCGTCTGTTGCAAGCGATACAGACGCTGGAGGGAAAGACCAGCCTTGATAATGAAGTCGGGGCGGGGACGGTGAGAGTGAGAGGGTGTAGGGGCTCTCGTCGTGGGCTTGAGCTGGCTAGAGCCGGTGAGAATGGCGTTGAAGTACGGCTGGTCCTCAGGGTCCAGGTTCGTAAGCATGGCGAACGTGAGTGTGTCGTCGTCAACGTCTTGTGGCGTCGGGGCGGTCGAGTCACCGCACTTGTTCAACCACTTGTCCACAGCTCCCCTGACCTTCTTAGACCGTTGGAGGTAGTGCTCGCGGAACTCCTCGGCGATATCGGGGTCGATCTGGATGGGCGAATCGGGACGAGGGGGGAGATCCGCGGCAATGTCCGCAGCGGCAGACCCCAAGGTCGCCAAGTCAAAGGGAGGCCATTGTGGGAGCTCGATGCGACCGCTAACCCACTCAAGAACCTCGCCCCAGCCCAGGCCGCGGTGCTGGATATCGGGCCCTCTCTCGCACAAAACGCAGGTGCATCCATACTCGGGCAGTTCCCGAGAGAACACATTCTCAAGGCGGTCCAGGAGTCTGCGAGCAACCGATCGGTGACCGGTTGCAACGGCTACCGAGCCATTTCTGTTCAGCACTGAGTTGTACTGATCCAGTAGGTTGAAGAAAGGGGCGAACAGCGTTTGCGCGCCAACGAGAGGAGGGTTGGAAGGCCTGGCGCCATTCTGACGAGGAAGAACAGACAAAAACGTCTTTGGTAGAGGTTGAAGCAGTCCGCCGTTCTGCAAGAGGTAGTCGACTCTAGGCGCCTCGTGGACGTCCAGGGGCGGAGGAGGTGGCGGCGGGGGAGGAGGTCCAGGGAGGTCGGTCGCTGGGGTGCCCGAGGGCGTGATCTCTTCAGCATACACTTGAGCCAATCCAGGGTGCGGCTTCTGGTCCGGCGGCAAGGGCGGGGGGTAGTTCGGGCATTGGGTCGGGGTCTTGGGGGACGAATCCATCACGCTCTCAGGGGACGAGTCGCCATCTTGGATATCGGATCGTCGGCTCTTTTTGCTCGACGAACTGCGCTTGGAGGAAGACCTGCTCGGCTTGATGTTGAGGCTCTCCTGCACGCCGGGAGGGAAAGAGGGCGACTTGACGTAGGTGGCCTGACTGCTACTCTTGGACTTGAAGCTCACCCGGGATCTTTCGTCGGCTCTAGATCCCGACCTTGAAATCGAAAGGCCGCTCAGTCGCGAGATCGGTCGGTCATCCCTATCCCTCTTCTCGGTTAATCTTGAGCTTGAACGCTCCTTGCGCGACGACTCGGGCGTCTCAGATCGTCTCTTGTCGGACAAATCTGTCTCGGGCGGGCTGGGAGGCCTCTCTTTGGTCGAAACCTTGCGCGAGGCATCGTTCACGCTCTTGGATCGGTGGACGTCGCTCTGTCCGAGGTCGGTCGCCTCGGGGGTAAAGGGATCTCTCTGCTTTTCTTTCTCGGCGACGGCCGAGACGTCATCTTTGCTGCGGACAGCCTCCTTGCTGTGCGCCTTGCTAAAGGTCGGGTAGGGAACGGAAACGCGATCGGTAGAGTTGGTCAGGGAGGTTCTGGCCAGCTCGGGGACGAGGTCGGTCATGGAGGAGGAGCGGTCGTGGCCACGTTCTCTGTCTCTGTCTCTGTCCCTGTCCCGGTCTCTGCGGTCGCGGTCGCGGTCTCGTTCTTCGCGGGTGCGGTGACGGCGGTGAGAGTGGGAACGCGAGTGGGTATCGCTTCCGAGGCCGCTGCCGTCAACCATCTTCGACTTCGAGGATCGTGAGCTCACACGGGAGGAGCGGTGTTCCTTGTCGCCCTTGTCGGATCTGAGGCTGCGCTCCGACTTGATGCGGGAGGACTTCTTCTCGCGGGGGAGCTTGTCAAGGTCGTCGACGACGGTATCGACGTCACGGTTTACGGAAGACATGGTGGCTGGCGCATGGATGCGAGCCCGGAAGCTCAGGTAGCTGCGCGGCGAGGCTTAGGCTTAGGCGTGGGCGTCGTCGGGCGACGGGTGAGGAGGGATTGAATAAACCTGTTTGTCGAGGGAGGAGATGGTGGGTGGGAAGGTTTTGGGGCCCGTCGGCGGGCGATCCGTCGTCGAGGTCAAGGTTTTGGACGAGTTTGTAAAGAGGTGCGGGTAGGAAGCAGGCAGGACCTGGTCTGGGGTTCACCGATCAAAAGAGGTTGAAGGCGACTCGGCAGTCGTTAAAAACCGGGGATTGCGGTGACTTTTTTTCCCCTTAGCCCCCCTGTTTTGAGCGAGCGAGCGTTGGTCGAGGGTTCAGGGTTCTGGAAGATTTAGTGTCTGTCCCGTCGTCAGTGACGTTCGCCGTCGAGGCTGGTTTTAGCCGTCGGGATGATGTATGGTGAGGTAGCAGAGCTTCGGGAGCGAGGCAAGAGCGGCGAGAGGAAGACGGAGGAGAGAAGGAGCCGTACGTACGATGGGCGGTGGGCGGTTGCGAGGGAGGACGGGAGGTGTTCGTTGACACAAGGCAGCTCGGGCGGGTGTGATTCGACCAAAAAAATTGAGAATGGAACAGCACACAGCAGAGTACCTTACTCTGTACTGTATCCGTACTGGCGGCGTACCTTCCACGAGTGAGTGTCCTTTCTCTTGTGGTAAGTGGTTTGCAAAGGCAAAGGCAACAACCCCTGTCGGCTGCTGCGTTGCCAGCGTTGGTGCTGCGGGCTTCGATGCCTGGGGGATCTGGTAGGCTGGACAGGCTGGGCAGGGCCGGCAAGTGTGGATCACCCGTCACTGAAGAGGGAAGGGAACGCACTTTGGGAAGGCACTTGGGAAGGGGGTGGACGCGGAGGGCGGTGGGCGGTGGGAAGATGCTGCACACTAGACGCTGGCAACCTGGCCGTCGACGGGCTGGGCTGTGGGGGCGAGTGGGAACTTGTCCCTCCCGTCAGGATGTGAAAGGGCTGGGGCGGTGACACAAGTCACTCACTTTGCTGCTGGCTGTTGGCTGCAAACTGCTTTCTTTCCCTCTTTTCTTTCCTCCCGCCAGAAACAAACCATAAGACAGACACAGAGCAGCTGGCTTGCACAGTGGCCAGATCCTGACGTGGCGGGCGCATTCAACTTCCCGGGCTGAGCATTTGGCAGAGTCGCAGGTTTAGTGCATCCGTACTGGGCTGAGTGGTGGTGTGTGTGAGAGGTGAGGTGGTTCAAGTGGTGAGGTCCCTTGAGCCCCACAACGGTCACTGGCAGAAGCTCGGGCCTGGCCCAGATCCAAGTCACCCGGCAAAAAGGTCAATCACTTCAGGCACTGAACCACCGCATCGTCATACGCACTGCACACTGCACACTGTAATCCTTCATCCGACGGGCGTGGCTGGCAGGCAGCGGACGGTCGCCGGCCAAAGGCGACCAAGGAAGCCCAGCGAGTGGCTCATTTTCCGCATGTTTCCGAAAGGCATAACATTGGCTGAATCTGAAGAAGCCTCCGGGGATGGCGGAAAAGGCCCGTGGGTTTGCGTTCCTGAGCCCCCGTCTGAGCTGCTGGTCAAGGCAAGAAAGACACACCTGGAAACGGGTGAGAAGCTTCAGGCACAGATGCTTTACACTACGGCCAAGGTAAGACAGGCAGGCAAGCAGGACACCGCCCATTGGATCGCATCTGCAAATCATTGGCCCGTACATCGCATCGCTTTGCTGCAAACCAACTGGTCTTGGGCCCCACGTCAGGTACGCGGAGCTGTCGGCTACTTTACGCAACGAATGTCTCTGGGTAAGGTAGCAGCAGATGACCTTCTGTTCCTGATCGAAGCCGCAGACCTGAGGTAGGTCACTGGCAGCTCTGTCAATGGTCGCGATGCCATGTCTCGGCCCAAGGCAAACGAGCCACGGGTCTGACACCCCGCGAGACAGCTCTCGTAGCTTCTTTCTGGTACCATGGTAGTAACGCGGCAAACACCACCAAATAATTATCTGCCTCACACAGCTCTCTCACCTGCCATCCCGAAGCACTCGTCTCACTTCACCGACCGTAGCACCTGTCTTGCAGTCCTAATCTTCTCTGTCTCTCGAAACCCATCATTTCAACGAGCACAGCAGGCCACCACCACCACCCATCATCACCAAGATCGGAACTACCCCTCAACGCCGAAAAGAAGGCCGCTTCCTAAAATAAAACACACCTTAACTAAACCCCTCACCAGTTCACATCGGTTGCATGCCCATCCCATCAATACCACCTCTCCATGTGTTGCTACCCGCCAACGAATGCGCCAACCCCATCGTCGGGCACCAAGAATGGCCCTTCCCGCCCAATACCCGCGTCAAGCTAAGCGCCCAACCGTGTGTCTCCCCCACTCCACCACTGCAGCCAGGCCGTACCACACCACCACCATCACCATCACCACCATCACTCTAACCTTGAACCACCACACACGCACGGCAGCAGTACAGACACCAACATCTCAAACCGAACCAACTCCCACCCTCCACCAAGCCTGAACTCACGCCTCTGAACCCGCGTCGGCGGGAATGCATCATGCACTTGAGCTCGGCCGTTTGCGATCGTTCGGGTTCCTGGCCTGGGAAGGGGGGTCCGTCCGTCCGCCCTGCAACGCCGTGTCGTCCATGCTTATCAAATCTGATCGCCTCGACAATCGGTACTCGAATGCGAGGCTAAACAATACGATCGCGATAAGGAACTCAAACTATTCATCACCATGCAGCGAGACGTGAATACTAACGATGGCTCAATCATATTCGTCAATTCAATCCTCTTCTCTCTTCTCCCCTAGGGGGAAAGATGAAGACTCTGACCTAGATGCCAAATGCCATCCATATCCATATCCATGATATTCATCTCAAGTGTATGTAATATATGAAAAAATCCAAAAACACAAAAACCCAACGGCTTTTTCTAAAAACCCATATCCATGTAAGTCTTTTTTCTCATCAACTCCGTGAACAAAAGTCTTTGCCCACCCGGTGTGTTCATTTCATCTCTGATACGCTATGCCCCTCCCAAAAACGAATGCGCTTTCCCTTTACAATCTGTCAAGCAGACCCTGGCTCTCGAGGAGCAGGACGATCTGGTGGACAATCGAGCGCACAGTCTGCTTCTCAACGTCGACGACGAGGTCGGGCTTGGAGGGGGTCTCGTAGGTGTCGTCGACGCCCGTGAAGCCCTTGATCTCGCCGGCGCGCGCCTTGGCGTAAATGCCGCGCTTGTCCGTCTTCTCGGCGTACTCGAGCGAAGTCGCGACGTGGACGAGGAAGAAGGGCCCGCTCTTCTCGACGAGCTCGCGCGCCTGCCTGCGCGCGTCCTCGTACGGCGCGATGGGCGCCGCGATCACGGCGGCACCCGCGCGGGTCAGCTCCGACGCGACGAAGGCGATGCGCTGCACGTTGCGGAAGCGGTCCTCGCGGCTGAAGCCCAGCTCCGACGACAGCTCGGAGCGCACCGTCTCGCCGAGGAGCAGCGACACGGAGCGGCCGCCGCCCTGGTTGAGGGTCACCTGCAGCGCCTTGGCGATCTGGTCCTTGCCCGAGTTGGTGTAGCCCGTCAGGAAGATGGTGAAGCCCTTCTGGGCGGGGAGGGGGTTCTGCTCGCGCAGGACCTTGACGACCTCCGGGTAGGAGAACCAGGCGGGGATCTCCTTGCCGGTCTTGAGGCGGTTGCGCAGCTCGGTGCCCGAGATGTTGGCGGTGTGGGTGCCGGCGGCGATCTCGTTGGCGGGCTGGTACTCGTCGCGGTCGGGGATGTAGATCATCTCCTGGAACTCGACCATCTGGATGCCGAGCTCGTCCGAGTACTTCTGGACGGCGTGCTGGGCGTCGTAGGGGCCGTAGTGGTCCTTGCCGTTCTTGTTCTTGCCGGGGCCGGCGTGGTCGCGGCCGACGATGAAGTGGGTGGCGCCGTGGTTCTTGCGGATGATGGCGTGCCAGATGGCCTCGCGGGGGCCGCCCATGCGCATGGCGAGGGGCAGCAGGGCGAGGGCGGCCATACCGTTGGGGTATCTGGGGAGCAGGGCCTTGTAGACGCGGACGCGGGTGAAGTGGTCAATGTCGCCGGGCTTGGTCATGCCGACGACGGGGTGGATGAGGACGTTGGCTTGTTGGGAGCGGGCGGCGCGGACGGTCAGCTCGCGATGGGCGCGGTGCATGGGGTTGCGGGTCTGGAAGGCGACGACCTTGTTCCAGCCGAGCTTCTCAAAGTGAAGCCTCAGCTCGGCGGGGGTGTAGCGCAGGTCGAGGAAGTCGTAGTGGGCGAGGCGCTGGATGGCCTCGAGCTTGCCGCCGACGTAGAAGTCCTCCGTGTTGGAGAAGAGGTGCTTGACACCGGGGTGGGTGTCATCGTCGCTGCCAAAGACCTCAATGGCCTCGACGGTGCGGTCGGGCTTGTAGACATCCTCGACGGTGAGGATGGCCAGGTTGCGGTCGTCTCTCAGGTCGCGCAGCGTGATGCGGGCGCCGGGCTTGATGGAGAGCTCGTCAATGGTCTTCTGGGACACATCGAGCGTGATGGGCATGGAGAAGAGGTTGCCATCGGCGAGGCGGTTGTTCTTGACGACGCCGTTGTAGTCCTTCTCGGTCATGAAGCCTGCGATGCGGGAGTGCCTCGGTCAGTTCACGGTTCCCACTGTTTTTTTTCCACAGCGCAACGTAATCGTCGGGCACGAATTGCCCCTCCAAAAAATCATGGCGGGGTCGTCTCCGTCCAGCAGCAGCAGCGGCAGCCGCAGCAGGTAGCAACAACCCCACCATCGCAGACAAGCAAGGGAGCAGCAGCAAAACACAACGCACCTTCGAGGGGAGAGAAGCCACCGTTGAGCAGGAGCTCGAGATCGCAGAGGTGGCGCTCGGTCAGGACGAGCGAGGGGAGCTTCTCGGACTCGGCGAGCAGCTCAGCGGAACGCGGCGCATCGCGCGCGAAGAGGTCCTTGAGGACACCGCCGTGGGGAGAGTTGGCCATTGTGAATGTGAAGTATTGAGAGTAGTTGCGCGGGGCAAAGACAAGACTCGGGATTGAGCAGAAACAAAGACGCTAGAGGGGGTATACGAAGCTCCTGAAAAGCTCAGAAGAGACACAGTACAACCAATTGGCTTGGTCGAGGGAGAGTTGCAGAGGAGGAAGAGGACAGAGACACAGGAGAGAACCAGCAGGAGGAAGAGACAATGCGGCAGAGCAGAGGGGCGCAACGGTGTCTTTTTATTTCCTCAATGCGAAATGCGGGCTCAACACGTAAAGAGAAAGAAAAATTGTCCCTCAAGTGTCCCCCGGCGTGAAATCGGCGTTGCTGTCGTCTGCGGTTGCTGGTGCTGCATGCCCATTGTCCAAGGTAAAAATGGAGGCTGTTTAGCTCAAATGACGTGATCGCTACCTTGCAGATGTACCCCCCCCTTGGCGGCGTGTTTAGCACTCTGTAGCGACGCATAAGTCATGTATCGCCACGATATGTGCCCGTAAGATCCATCCTCCCCGTCCCAATGGAGATGGCCATTTTCGTGGTGCAGCCGCGGGAGGGATAGAAAAGTCTGAACCCACGCATGGCTGACACAATGAACCCCGATGACGACCCATGGGAGATCCATGGAGCCGTGGGGTCCCTTTCTGTTGTTGTGTCGCAAGTCTTCTTGAGCGGCGGCTCGGTCTTCCGGCATCCATCCGTTGCACACCGGAGACACGACGGATTGGTAATGGGCGCAAAGGTTTGTAAGCCCGCCGCGAGAGAGACAACACCTTGTGGTTGCTTGTGCCTTGTGTTCTGAGCTACGCCTAGCCAGCTGTAAGAGAAACAACCTTAACAGGCGCCAGCTGCGATCAGACGACGAGACAACGACGTGGTGTCCTGCCGGGGTCTGGTTCGCGGTGCGGCGTTGATAAAGCGAGATAATTACCCCGCCAAATGTGGCTTGTTCACCGAACTCGTCCTTCAGGGTCCCCGCGCCACGCTGTCTTCCCTTAGCCCAAAAGCCAATTGCGAAGCATGACCACGTTTGTTGGAAGAGGCATGCAGCAAATTCGTCAAAGTTGCAATCCCAGCCTCGTCTGGCGTGCTGGTGCCGAGTCTCTTGGCTGCGGGCCAACCACCCGTTCAACTGAACCTCCTCCCGCCCATCGCGCGGGATGGGCTAAGAGCACCGAGGATCTACTCGCCTTGGCAAGACATACCAAGAAGCAAACCGCTATGTATCATACAGGGAAGCAGCGAGAGATATCTGGTTCCAACAGACTTGTCTGCGGTGATGATTATGTCGTGATCCCACCGCGCCCAACGTCCTGCTTGGCGAGTCACATGTGGCGTTTGCGTGTCTTACAAAGCCGCACTTCATTCCAACCAACATGAACCCAATATTCTGGATCAGGATCCTCGACAGCAGCAAGTTTGACAGCTCGCAGATCATGCCCGCTTAACCTTGACCCCAAATCTGCCTCCCATCGCTCCAGCGAAAGCATGGACAAACGTCGTCGGTCACCTCGGTCAGGGCTGGTGGGGTACGGGTAGACCCCCCCGACGTCCGCGTCGATCGGCTTAGCGGCTGTCGGTTCGCGGCTGCCGGGGCCTGCGGGGTCGGACCCGATATCGCTAGCGGTACACCGAGAGCCATCATCTCCAGTTTTTGAGCTGCTGCGCGGAGATGGGCAAAAGATGGCACGCCGCACATTTTGCCTGGTCAACGATGACATTCCATGTCCACTTTTCGGCTCCGTGATTCTCCACCGTGACACCCACCCGTCGCCAACATTCTACACGCTAGATCCAGTTCCTGACGATCCGCTGACGCAATTGGCCAATCGACTGGAGATGGCTGGCTACCGTTTTCTCTCAGCCACAAGAAACGGACTGGGCTTGCTGCGGACCATTTGCCCGCCTTTGGCGCGGCGCGGAAACGATGACAAAGACGATGGAAACCCTCAAGGTTGTGTAGAGCAAATCGGGCTTTATGCAGAGTTGACTGGGGCTCTGCCTAGCTTGGTTGTTGAAGACTTTGACGACAAACCCATTAGAGACGACAGATGGTTTCGGCTTCGCAAGTGAACATGAAGTTGCTGTTCACAAACATAAGCTAGTTGCCTGGTCAATTCATTTCATTGCGGATATTCGCAAGTATTTCAGTCGTCTCGAGTTTGACCCATATGGCTTATGGCGAGGGGACGGTCGTGTCTTCTTGCCGCGTAGCACTAGTGGTCGGAGTAATGCATCCGCCCTCGAACGTCACATCAACTGGGGTTGATACCCAATCTCTCGAGATCACTCGGATCTTGGCTCAGTGGGTAGCAGATCTCACCCGAACACGGGCGGATCTCCCAGAAAGCCGCGACTCGGAGACCAGCGTCGTCGGCCGGAGCGAGGACTTTTGTTACTGGTCGAAGATGACCCGCTAAGAACCGGTCGTAGAAGGACGTGGCCGATTGGAATTACCTAGCCGCCTGTCCATGGCAAAGAGCTGAAACTAGATCGGACGCAAACACTGACCTCACTACCCCAAAGCTGAAGGTGGCGATTGTTCGTCCTTGCTGCCGCCGCCGTCGCCACCGATATCTTCGTCTCGATTCTCATTGATATGGCTCTTCCATAATTCGCCGTGGTGTTCTGCAGAAGCAATCGTCATACTGAACAATCGTATTCGTCGCCGAAAGCTTTGGAACGATGGCTCGGTGCTGCCTCCGATCTAGCCGCCGGCCCGTGGAGCGGCCCCGCGACGGTTGGAGTGGGGCTATGACCGGCTCTCACCGGCCGCCACAAAATCTGTCCCTTCACCGACAGAGTGAGGCCTTCACTATGCCAATCGTAATTACACAGACAATTACCTTGGGGCTTTTGACTGAATATATCGCATGTCTCATCCTTGTTTCACATTTACTTAACTCTCAGTCTTCCTCTGCAGCTTGGAGCCGCGACGGTTGATTTCTCGCTTTCGTCTCGTGTTGATCAAGGGTCCCGCCTTGCTCTCTTCTTCATTTCTAACGACGTTCCCAAAGTTACTATCAAGTTGCCTCTGTCGTTTGTATTACTGTTTCTTCGTAATCTATGAGCGACTGGTCGCATATAAGATTGACAAACATTGTTCAGAGATAAATTCCAAATTGACGGTTAGATGTCACAGCCATACATCACACTTGGTTTATATTTGGGCTTTGTAGCTTGAGCGGCCGAGAAGCTGAGTAATGTTAGAGGAATTCAACATCACAGTGATAGAGGGCGTTTAATATGGCAGGGTTGCAGCCAATCAGCTACAGTATGCAGTGCTATTGTTGGCCTGACTAGAACCGACCAAGTCAATCCTCCTTCGGCGGCAAGCACACCTCCCGGTTCTTGGCATGCTGTCCTGCTGCCTGCGATAGCCCGTCGCTTTATATGCTCATACCCAGCCCATCTCGTCTCCCGCTGTCATACTCTGTTTTCCCCCAGCCCTTTTCCTCGGTAAAATTCACGGGGCCTCATCTGTTAAGAAATGGCATCGAATCCACTTCAGCGGGTGTCGCTGCATGTGGTAGCCGAAATCCTGACTCACCTGGACTCTTTCGAACAGCTCGGGCTCGCAATCCTGAGTCATCGTGTATTCCATAATGCTCTTCACGATAACCTTCACTACGTAGCCCGCAGCATTATCACAAATCAGATTTCTCACGTCACTCTCCCATTCGCCCTTGTACTGCTCAAGTCAGCAAGGCTCAGTGGCGATAACCACGATGGCATCCGAAATTTGCTGGATCATCTCATCACAGACATATCCGAGCCCTGCCATGCCGCAGCAGCTCTCATCAACCTTTCCCTAGACGAGTACGCAATCCTCAGCAAGAACCATGCGGCCGTCGAGTCTCTCCGCGATGATTTTTCCAGAGAGGCGATTCCTGCGTTTGTCGAAAGATTCGAGCTGGAGCATGCCGAGCATCTTAACCCGCAGGAAACGTTCCGTCTGGACAGGGCCTTCTATCGTTACCAAATCATGTGTAACCTATACTGCGGGAGGAAGGGTTTTGAAAGGAACCTCTCCCCCATCGACCGTGAATATCCTTTCTTCTCAGAATTCTCGCCATGGGTCAACGAGCAACTCATCTGCGTGTACTATTATCTTGAGAACAAGGTCGTTACTGGTACGTGTAGAAGGTATCGTGCCAGCTTCCAATCACTAACTAACACCCGAGCATACGATGAGATTGCTGCACATGACGTCGTGTGGGGCGGAGTTCCTGTGAAATGGCGACGTGACCCTGAGGAGTTGGGCCTAGTCCAGAGCTATGTGAGTTATGCACCAAGTTCTTCCGCGTCTTCGATCTCTCAGAAACTAGTTATAGACACCTTAGCTTACGTCTGAGTTGCAGCTTTGCAATGGTCTTCCATTTCTGGTGTCGGTCATGAAGGCAAAAACTTACGAAGAGAGACTTGAACTGTTATATCTAATCGACTTTTTTGAGATGGTAGATACCGACTACCAGCCTTTCGGACAGCTGTGTCTGGCGGCAACAACGACATACGACAATTACGATCCGGAAGATCCGGAAATGCTGTTTGAATTCGATACTGAAGAGGAAGCAAGGCTGTCTCAACTTTATCAAGAGGGCAAACTAGATGTACTAGCCGGGCCAATGGATGGTCCACAGGATTCACTCTCTTCGACTCCATTCCGTGTGTGGTTGGCTATGCACTGGACCGAACCAACCATCTGCTCAAATTTCAACCCCTTGGACCAAAGCTTCTGGGAATGTGGTTACATTATGTGGGATGTCGATGAGGTGCCCGAGATGCGGTTGCGAGGCAGATCCTCGGCGATCAGACGAGAAGGGCCTTCCACCCAACGGCTGGGAGCCTCTTGGACCGACGAAGATGTCAGGCGATCTGAAAGACAGAGAGCCGACCTCTGGTTGGCAGGTGCTGACGGCTACTGGCCCCGAGAGGGCTACGACTTCAGTAGAATTACCGGACTAAGCGAAAAGAAACAGGCACTGGTCGAGAAATGGAGAACGGAGACATACGATCGGTCGTAGGACTGAAAGCATGTAACGTCACACGCAGATGATATGCCCCGAACTCGAGTAAAGTCAGCCAAGTGACTGGTTTTGAATATCATTAGGTGTATTCCCAGAAACAGATCTCACATTTTGTCGGAACACTTACAGACGCTATTTATACGTCACGCTCAAGGGCTTTGAAATTAGTGAATCATGATTTCATTTGTTTCCTGCAAATACCATCACAACGCCTTTTCATGGTTTGTTTTGGGAGAAACGATCAGATACATTGTTGTTGCTCATTCCTTAGAGCTAACCAAGGTCAGCATGTCTTTGGCTGCCTGCCCGGCCGGCGGAGCTGCGTCGGTCCCTGTGGGGCTTTATAGCGGGTGCCGATCCGTTCACACCGGGGGAAACGAACCGGGCCCTCTACTAACGGAGTGGGATGCCGAACTCGAAACTGTATACAGAGTTACCGAGAACACGCCATTCTGATTCCATACGCGTTCTGAAAGCTTTTTCGAATAAACTTGTACCCTTCCACAAGGATATTCAACCAGATTTCGTCTGAGCATGGCCGGGGGACTGTTCAATTTTCCGGCAGACCCCGTCACGGCCCTCAAACGCTTGCCGATACACGATGGTACTCTGACTTTACAACTGTTCATGCTTGGGTAGGGTTGCGCCGTCTTATTCCGCTGCCTTCGGAGTAAGATGACTCATTATTAATCATGGAACCCCGCGCGTTTGCGAACCGCGTCAACCCATGCAGCACGGACATTTCGGTCTACGAGCACCCAAATCACCACCATACGGCCTTTTCGGCCATTGCTAACACGCGAAAAGACCGAGGAATACTTTGCAAAATAAAAAACTGTCGCCTCAACGTCGACGAATTTCCGGGTTGCGCCGTCTGCTGTGTAAGCTGCTTAGTATTCAATCGAGTCGTATCCGGCCGCTCGTCCGGATTTGCGAGAGACTCGGTTGAGCGATGGTGATAGTGGGCGGGAGTGAGGTCATATAAAGGCCTGGAGTTCATCGAGATCGCTGGGATGAACTTCAGATCATCAGTCACAGACTAACACACAATTTTCCAACGACGCATCAAGATCAAAGACAACATGACCGAAACTGTTCTCGTGTTTGGCGCCTCTGGCAACATGGGCATTGCCGCCATTATCGGCGCCCTCAACGCCAAGCACAATGTTATTGCTATCGTACGCAACGAGGCAAGCGCGGAGAAAATCTTCAAATATGTCGGCACTCGCGAGGGTATTACGACGGTCGAGGCCGACACGACTTCGGAAGACTCGATTAAGGGGGTGGTTGACCAAGTGCGGGAGGGCAAGCTGCCTGCTTTCCAACACGTCTGGGCCTCGCGTAAGTTTCATCAAAAGTTCAGAAACGCTAGACCATAAAGCTGAAATATCGTCATTAGCTGGCTGGCTTTACGCGGACGCGAAGATCCTAGAACTCGACGTGGCCGCGTTCCGCGCGAGTATGACCGCGAACTTTGAGACGTACATCGGTCAGTAAACCCTCGAAAACTCACTTCTTCAATAGATAAATTAGCAGCTAACTCACGCATATTACAGTTGCTTACCGCGCTACTGTGCCCTACCTGCTCGATCAGGGCTTTCCTGGAACTACATGGACAATGTGCACCGGCGCTCAGGGCGAGTGGGGTCTTCGCGTGGCCCCGGCCGTGACCCAGGGCGCCCTCTTCAGCTTTGCCGTCGCGGCGGCTCGCGAGAACGAGGACACCAACATCCGCTTCAATGAAGTCTACCTCGCCTACCGGGTTCAGCTCGAGGTTGAGCCGGGCATGACAAACTTCCACGGTTTCCCGATCACCACTAGCAGAGAGTTCGCCCCTGTGTTTGAGAAGCTACTTAACAGGACGGATATCAGAGGGAGCAGGGTCAAGGCTATCAAGCCTCAAGATGTCATTGATTTGAAGTTCGAGAAGAAGTTTTAGGAATCTTTGTCGGCTGAAACAAGGCTTGGGCTACGTCAGTGTGTATAGCTTGGAAGGCCACGTCTGATGTTCATCGCCTTCAGTACATACCAACCCTAAACATACCGTTCTACTGGTCACATAAGTTCTAGCTTGGATGAGGGCACATGTATTTGTATTTAAATAAGCATTTAAGGTGATTAGCTACTATTTGTTTCGGATGTAGTGCCAATGCTGCCTAGAAACACATGACCCAGAGGCTCGGCGTAGTTACGTATTTTACCATGCGATCTCTTCCAAATGTGTGAAACAAGTACCAACGTGAACAAGAATTATCTGTGCCGATTGACAATGTCGGTGGAATGGTGGTTGGTTGCCTTATTCCGACTTTCGAGGGGGATTTTACGGCGGAAACCCCATTTAGCAGATTGAAGCTCCCGACTTGGCATAGCCGTATCTCTATAACCGCAATCAGCTTCTCTCGACCTTCGAACACTTTTGAGATCTCTTACCTTGTTCCATCCTGGGACATGGAGATATCCTGTGTTAAATGGTCAGTTCCATGTTCAGCAGTCCGCTTTAAAGCATTGGCTAGAACACATACCAGGCTCCATCCAACCATTACTGCGGCCCTTGCAGTTGGAAGCGGCCCAGCCGACAGCATCAGCCCACTCGTTGACGTTGCACGGGTTCGTAGTGTACGCGCACATGTACGAGACGGAGGTTCCTTGGTAATTCGCGAAGACAGTGTTCTTAGGGAACTTGTGATCGCCGTTCGCCTTGCATTGAGCATAGAACGCGTCCCAACCGTGCTGGTAGAAGTCGTTCTCCAAGAACCAGTCCCCACCGGGGCACCACGGGTAGGTTCCAGAAGGCCAGTTGTACCGCTTGTTGGCGCGGAAGCTGTTGCTGGCACCATCACGCTTCGCGATAGCGACCGGGGCAGAGTCAATGGTGTTGACAGTAATGTCGGTCCAAGTCGGCTTGCCCTCTCCGTCAATGCTGATGATGTAGCTTCCATCAGCGAGGTCGGGGAGCTGAATGGTCTCAGCCAGGGCTGAGCCAACGGCAGTCGCGGAGAGAAAGATGGAAGAAAGCTTCATTGCGAGTAGCTGAGATTGAGATTATTTGTTGTGCGGATGAAAGATGTTCTGAAGAATCTGTGATGGCAGGCCAGACTTGGTGAAGACAAACAGCGCAGAGGGGGAAATATTATGTTACTTATACCCAAACAGCAACGGAGGTCATCCACATGGCAAGAACTTTTGGCTTCTTCATTCTCCGAACTGACAACTCATCTCCACGTCCACCGTCCACGGCTGAACTTCAACAACTGCTGGCCAAGGGACAGAGGCCCGATCGAAGAAACATCGTGACTCCGAGTTTTTCCGAGAATATCGGCTCAACATTTGTCATTTCACGATGTCTTTCTTTTACTAAGCACCCAATCCCTTGGGTTGCATCGTGGCGCCAGACATTCAGGCAGCTGCAACTGCAAGTAAGACCAACTTTGACTTATAACCACCTAGGAACAAATAGCCTTACCCTTTTCGTGATTGTAAGCTGACATTGGTCTCACTGGTTTCTAAAGACTGGCTCGTATACGCAAATTTGTGGAGTTACTGAGACAAGAATGTCGCTTCCCTTAAGGTCCTTCTCAAAGGGGCTACTGCAGGTGGGCGATGAGTAATCGAGACACTATTCGCAACTCGATCCACTTACGAGCGACCCAGCTCAGCTCAGCTTCTAATGGGCCCTTGAAATAGGCTATTTTTAAAGAAGTCGCAGCATGTGGGCTCTTTAAGTGCTTAAGTGTGCTCATGTCGTGGGGGCCTTTCGGGCCCTGCAACTGCGCCAGCGCAGGGCAGCAGGATGATCAGTGTGTCATCAAAGTTGCCAGCATGAGACGAACATGAGACGAACGGCCTTGAAGTACAATCTTAAATGTGCCACAACCGGCAGGAACGGTAATGACGTTCGCACAGTCTGGCTACGAGCAGGACAGAGTAAGGCTTAGGGGAGTTGTCTCTGGCTGATCACACGATATCAAGAAAGTCACGTTCTGCGTTTGTGCCGCTGAAGTTTGAAGATGTAACGAATCAGATTTATTGCTTTTTCAACTCAGGGGTATCGCTCGGTTGACCATCCTCAGCTGAAGCGTGAGGGGACAAGTTTGTATGTTGGGGAGGCGCGTAACGAGCCTATTCAACCGCCAACAATAACGGGAACAACAATAGGAATAAATACACCCCCACGGTAACCACCACCATATCCGGTTCCACAGGCTCTTTTCCCAAAACCATTGTCCTCGAGATCTTGCATAGGCTCGTCGGCCGGGAATAGTTCGTGGCGCTTCTCGAAAGCTCCGTTGCTGTCGTATACTTCGGCG